ACTCAAATTTTAATTAGATTATCAACTTTGCAGTTTTATTATTAAGTCGAAAATTCAATACCAAAACATGCTGCATTCGTGTGGGATGACCTGTGTGTACCTACTTTTAATAACATCACTCGATGTTGAACCTGGTTGGATGTCAACGACCGGCAATAATACGTTTCATAATTTGCACTGCAGTGGTTTTGCATACGTCTGTCGTCATGGCAACGGGGTCGTTGTGAATTGTTAGTAGACCGTACCTTAGTTTGGAATATAAAACGGGAGGTTTCACCATATTTATGGTCATAAGAGTTTGTATAGAGCATAATGATATTTTAAGACTACAACAGTCGTTTTAGGGATGACAAACGCTTTATCTAATTACGCTTTTCAAAGATAAGTTTTAAATTTAAAACATTACGAATTGAATCTGTGGCATTGATGCGACAGAAGACAGATGACAGTTTTTATCTTTCCCTACCCAAGTATAAGGTGCATTATGTTTACATCTCCATTGTCTTTTTTCAATATCTATTGAACTCAATCAAAACATGTCTGTAGATCGTCCGATAGCATGTACAAATTGCAATAATACATTCATAAGTTCACTGAACCAAACATTGACATTGATATATTGAATTGAAGATGATTTCGGTACCGTTAATCTCTGAGCAAAGTTTTTATAATGATTCATACAGCTAGTTTTATAAACAACAAAATTATGTGATAGAGCGTGTACATTTGTTAGTGTTTAGCGCAAAAACTACTGAATCAAATAAGATGAAATTGTGTCTAGAAAAATATACCATTACGTAAAACGGGGTGAATAGAATTCGAGGGGTAAATTAGACACGGAAGAGGGGTGAATAGATACTAGGAAAATTTGCCAACATCTAAAAGTCAAAAAAGTCAAAAATCATTTATTCCAATTAGACCTTAACAGGCACTTTTGAACGTCAAAACAAAATTTTGAAGATATCGTGTCAGTCTGTCGGTCAGTCCTCTTAGTGAAGCTATTTGCTCGTCGTCTATTCACCCCTTTCGTGTATCTATTCACCCCGTTTTACCGTTACTAATTATTGAATTCAGCAGTTTAATATGAAGCGAAAATGTCTTCATAAGAACTGCAAGTCTTTAATTAAGTTCCTGTATGCACGCACTGTCAGGAAATACCGGTACACTCATATGTACTGTTATTGTATTACTTGATTCTATGGAGACCACCTCCCCACCGGATTACAATTCATATTTCAAATGCAAATAAATGCATAGAAAACTGATGAATATTTATTCCATCGCACAACATGCATGCTCTGATCGATATCTGAGTTTCTTTGGGTTGACTAAACTGACTTTATTCTGGTTTTTTATGGCTTGAACTTTTCAAAGTTTTGAACACCGTGGTCGTCGGAAGTACAAAGACTTCGAAAATATAGCTCATACAACAGTGTGTGATCCAATTTATGACAGTATTATTTTTGTTCCATTAAATGGGACGGAAAATATATTTTCTGAAGGAACAACGTGTATTATATTATATTACATGTTGCGTACCTACTCGAGGGTTGATAATAAAAGACAAAAAATGGCGTAGCAATGCGAAGAAAAATTCAAATATCCTTTTTGGAAGTCTCATAACGTTAAATATAGAAGAGATGTTATTGTTGCCGTTTTATTAATTTTTGTTCATTTCCTACGATATATTTTTGTTGTTTGATTTATAATATAGCTTTCTAATAAAGAGTACAGCTCAACAATATTTACTTCATTATGTTGTTCTGTGAAAGGAACTGAACACTATAAAACATTGCTATCACATTTAATTTATTTTCAACCGTAAATTCAAAGCAACTTGTTATCTAGACCAAACCGCAGTCGAAGACGTCATTTACTTCGTGACCCAAACAAACAATTTCAGGTAAATTGCGAAGATAAATAAACATTGTCATCATTACTTCAACTCTGCTTATTGTTTACACGATTAAAATTGTTTTTGTAAATAAACGTTTAATTCGTTCTGTCTACTGTTTTGATTGGTCTGCGATGAAAAGGACACGACTTTTTTTGCAGGTCGATTTTTAAGGGTACTTAATCCGTCGTGTACTGTTAAGACTGAATAAGAAGCAACTCAAGTTCTTATTACGAAACAAGATAAATTGATATAAAATGTAAATTGACTTAAAAGTATTGCATTAAAAGTATCGCTAAACTATACTCAGCTTAATTGATTTAACATTCACATGAACGAAATACCCCTATTACGCAATATGCTAATATTTAAGTATAAACACGAGACAAAATCAGTAATTTAAATTCGCCAAAAGCCTTCGAAACTCATCAACTGCACCCGATATACAAAACAAACACGCGTCTCTTATGCAAATATGTACAGACAACAGCAAATCAATATACACCAATCTGTTACGATTATTCGTTGGATTTTCGACTTTATGTTATATGGATGAGGTTGAAAATCGAACAAAGGAATTTCACAGAAGGAGTAGCTCGATCTGCTAGCATGTTATGTACGTTATATAAATCTTTCCTGATTTATTACTAGTTCCGTCGTGTCGCCAATTTATTCACTTTTACTTGCCGAGGCCGTGTATATGTACGTACGGACGCATCAGTGAAACATTATCTCTTGGCAGATGTTTCCCGTTTCTTGTTACTGTGAGATTAATCTTACCCGTATTGTAAGAGGTTCTTTAAGAGAAGGAAAATCGAAAAGAGGTTATACATCTGATATTTTAAAAGGGATTCTCGTTTTTGCGTTTGGTAGATGGCAGCACAGTCGATAATGGTGTCTGTTACTTGGTAGTTACAAGGCAACAGATTATTGGTATGGTGCTTCCTTGTTTTATAATTGTGTCCTCATTATTTCAACACAGTATATACAATTCACCATATTTAAAAGTTTTGAGGCAGTAGTGATTTTCTGAATGTTCATCAGTTTAGAAACAAACGGTGCAAATGACTGGCAGATCTAGGCTCAATTTTATTCCACAAACTATCTTCATAAATAAGATCAAAGCTGTCGTGTTACAATTGTTTGTTTCGCCCCAGGAGTCTGTTCAAGTAATAGACACTTGACACGTCTCATGATAGCCTTTATTATTTCGCTCTGAATACAAGCATTTTAGCAACCGTGCAAACGATATTATTTACGTAATTTTCAGTCCATTTTCGTTCAATTTACAAGGAATTGTTAAATGTTCAGTCTCATTTTTACGTGTAATCTTTTGGTCATGATCAATCTACGTTTACGGAAGTAACCAGAGATACTTATCTCTGGTTAAAGAATTACTTTAGTTCTTTCGGGTTTCCCGAATTTTATACCTCAATATATTGTACAATGAATTGATAATATCTCAAGTCAGACTATTGCTCTATAAACATTGGGAATTCGTATGTATATACAAGAAAGCGACTTCAGTACATATTTCCCAACAACGCGAAAAGTTATTTAACACTATTCTGACATTGACAACACATTTCGCGCACATGTCAGCACAACGTTTCTCAATCCAACATCAACAGTGTTCAAAAGTGTGATCCATCAAGCGGGGACAGATGTCTCAACATTATACAACATCTATATGAAGTCTATCTGTCTATAAAAATACTATAGTATCAAAAGTGAGTAGCGTGATCTGATAAATATAGCCGGTGTATATTCGACCTTCGCGTTGCGGTGAGCGAGTCAACCGATCCACGATTGTGCGTACAATGTTATAGGGAATTTTGGAGTAACGAAGGTTGCGGCGAAAATGTACAGAAATGGGAGTGCGCCGAGTTCCCATCGGATATTTTGAGGTTGAAGGTCGCTGTTCGATTCAATCATGTTTTCGGTCGGTGGATGTAGTCGGTGCGCTTGTTGTATAGATACTATATTATTATTTGTGATGTTTTCATTACAAAAGCGACACTGAACATGAATTAGATTACTTAAACAGAATATGGATATGCATAGGATAAAAAAGCGTCATTCCTGTCTAGGTTAAACTAAGTATATAATAAATTGGAGTCAATCTGAATATGACGTATAACAATTTTGTTCAGATTTTTAAAGTGAAACATCGACGATTTGATTATTACATTTATCAACAAATCAAGCGAAACGAAATGATGAATTTAAAAATAGTGAAATGTTTAATCAAGGTGTTTGATAGCAAAAACACGAGGCATGCATACAAACTAAAAATTTTAAGCTGGATCAACGGCTATCTGCTCAGTGGAGCTCACAGTCGGCTGAGCGACTAATTAGATCAATCACCGAACTGTACGGGTCTGCAAATACGAGTCCCGGCTTAAAAAATATCCACTATAATGGGCGAGCTTATGACGTTATGGATAAGCCTGTATTAGTCGTGTATTTATTATGGCAGTGTTTGAATGACTAGACATTGTACAGTGCATCTACTTACTAATGCTACAAAAGTAGATGCACATATTTTGTTTACAAAATTTTAGTCTTGCACAACATCAAAAAGAAGAAACGCTAGGCGCCTAAACACCAAGCATCTTAGTGTAGATGTCTCCATACACATTTTCGACAAAAAACAGAAGCGAGTACAGTTTTGAAGGAAGCTTTCCCCAGTTTTTCCTGTAGTTGTCGTTGGCTCGTTGTCAAATTCTGGCTACGCGAAGTTTGTAAGCTAAACGATACACTGCATACTTTTTATGGTGTTGTTTTGGATAAAGTTCTTTAGAAAATGCCTCTACTAGGCTTAAGTACGTTGTTGCAAGAGAAGCGTTTAGCTAGCTTTCTCTGTCGCCCTGCGTTTAAGGCAGTCTTGGTCTAGATTTTATGCAGTTAGCCTAGCTATCCTATAAACATAAACTGTATAAAAAGATAGAAGATAGGTCTTAATGGCGAGAGGCGGACAAAGGCATAATGACGGAGCCAACATTGCAAAGATGAATATCGTGAATAGTTGTAGTTTTTAACTTCAACGTTCAATGCTGGTATGAAGTTATTTCTTAATAAGTTTGGATATTAATAAAAGACTTACCTATCGCAGCGACCGGTAAGCAGTTGAAGCAGTCTGTGAAAGTTTTCCATAACTTGATGTTATACCTCCGTTTGCATTCGTCGTAGAATCTGTTGGACAAGAGAAATTACACTTAGTTTATTGCAGGACATAGGAAAAATCGTATTACGAACAGAAATGAAGTGTATTTTTAACCGACTTCAAAAAAGGAGGAGGTTTATTTTTTTATGTTTGTAACTCCGTTGTTTATGGACGGACTTGCAATTTTTTTTTCAATCATGAAAGGTTTTCATACCATAACACTGAATTTTGTCAGGCAGCTGCTTAAAGGTCTTTTAGGATCTCATAGTATAGGGCATAGCTGGAAAGCATGCTTTTATGTATTTGATAACTCCATATTTACAAAGTAATACGTAAAAACACATTAAGAGATGTAAGAACGTATATTTATCATAATCACTCATCTCCATGTCTATCGGATACATTTTGTCGTGAGTGATGTATATTTTTAGAATTTTGTATATGGGAATTTGCGACTATTAATCTTTCAATGGTTTATCGTTTCTTGATAAATGGGGACCCCTTTAATCTGATAAATCCGACCTTGTACAATTGTTAATAGTGGTTTATGGAGGTATGGTCACTAAAGTCAATTCATTAATCTCTATAAGACTAGAAAAATACCGTGAATAGGAATGAGAAATTACCTTAACCTTAAAGAAAAAAGGCTGAAGCAAGAACATAACGTAAGGTATATAAGTACAAGAGCTAAATCTGATTTATGGTGCATTTGTGTTTGTTTCTACACACAGGCATCTACACAAATCTCTGTTTCACAAGTCCACTATGAGATTTAGTCAAGAGGCGCCGTGATTTCCGTGTCGGACATAGCCAATTTGAAGACTCCGCGATTGTTGTTGAACGAAAACCACAGTAGCGTAGCGATTGGGAAAACTCAATTTTCTAGTGATTGACTTTATCGAAGTTACCCTAAATTATTGATGTTAAGGGAATAACATTTATAGTATCAAAAACTGCCTACAGAACCGGCGATATTATTGATAACACATAAATACTCACTTATATAGAAACCTCATTAGCTATCTAGTTTAAACTTCACACATATATGCAAGCATTAATTGTACAAACACTGACTCATACATACATTTATTTATTGACATTTGACACATGTTTACGTCGAGATAACATTTAACCACGGTGACTGTGTGTACAGACGAGCAACAGCGTTTTTAGACTGACCATTTTATTGACTCCCTTCGTCTTCGTATGACAACCAGAAATGAGCGAATTTATCAAATGAGCGACTTGTGCGACCTACTACTTGTATTTTGATAACTAAACAGAAAATAGTCGAAATTTTCATGTTCGACTATCAACACACGGTAATTTTTTAAGTAGTATCTGGAAATGGTACAGGTATGAAACTTACTCTATTACCGTTCACGTAAAATATTACAGGATTATTAAAATATTCTTATCTACTGCTTAGATACTTTTTCGCCTATGGTCCCATAGGCGAAAATGTCGTAAAATAAACAAATACAGTCGTCGGTCTGCGTCAAGATACTCGTGCTAGTTTAGATAAATAGATATTTACGACTAAGAATTAAACGAAGCAAAACGTGAATTTTGAGAAACGTGCAATCATAGAATTGTTAACTCTATAGATTTTCTTGTAGTTACATTATATTATCAAGACCTAGTATAGGACAATTATTATTTTGTATGTATTTCTAACGAAAATATATTACCATAGTATGGAAAGGAGATGTGTTTAGACTTCAAATTAATTGTCTTACACGAGAAACTAAATAGCAAGTCGAAGCGTGCGATTGCTTGGAGCTGACATTTAGTTATTTGTTAAACATTCTTAGCAGTCTCGTGCAAGGTCAAAATAAAATACTTATACATATATCTTATTTGAGACTGGTGTAAAGTCCGAAAATACTGAGAATTGGAGACTTAAGTTCTCTTACTGTTTGAATGAGTTTTGGATATCAGACAAAAAATACATAAGGAAACCATTATTCTTGTTTAAAGGATCATAAAAATACACTTTATTCGTAAAATAAATTTATTACCGGACTAAAAAAGAAAACTAGAGAGGCACCTCTAAAGAATACGCCTACGCGTTATTTTTCCCTTGAAAGATTTTCTAGGAACATTCTATACTTACATTTTTCTTTACTTATACTTTATATTCAATAAAATAAATTATTACTAAAGTAACAAAAGTAGGTTCTAAAGACAATGGAGCAATTTATTATGTTCTATGAATAAATGATATTACACCTACATACGTTCGCTATAGGCGCTTCCATTTTCCTTTATTAACCTTTTGATGTTAGGTACAATTTTGGAGACGTGATTACATTCATACCCGTAACATACTGACAACTAAATTAGAAAGCAGTCTTTGTTACTTCAAGTGGCGTTACGATGGCGAAAAGTATTAAATTGTGACAGATTATGTTTTACTTTTTCCATTTTTTTTTTGTGGAAATCTGACGTAATGTTGAGAAAATTTACTGTTATTAAATTTTGCACGAATTCAATTTCATTTTAGATGTGATACAAGAAATTAGACCTCGTCATTTAGTTTAGGTAACATGCCGACCGGTGGCTGTGGCAGACTGACAGACAGAACCGGTGGCGATGACAGGCCGGTTATTAGTTTAAATGGTCCATTTGTGACAAAAGCTTTATTTTACAACAAAACTAAATCTTTAAATATTACCAAATCATTGCATTCCGTTCAGTCAAGCGTCTTTGCCAGTTGTTAATACGTTAACAACTGGCAAAGACGCTTATAACAATTATAAGTAGTGTGTAAAAAGAATTACCATAGAATGTAAGATACTTGATATTTAAGTAAAAACGCTATATATTATACTGAAAAGTAATAACAAACGAGAAAAATTAAATGAGGAAACGGGATCAGATATTTTTTGCAGTCTGAATTTTATTACAAGATTTGCGTGTATTTTGCTTTTGTAAAAAAACAATACGATTGCACATTGGTATGAGTCATTGACACTTTATTAACGTGTCGGCGCGGGCGGTAGGAAATCGTTGTAAGCCGATTTGTTATAGCTTTTTGTAATTTTTGTGAAGCCATTTTGAATGTAAACGTAACAACATTATCTTCCGTGTTTACTAAATATGCTCTTCATTGTTGTGTTAAGCAATAGTTTAGAATAATAGTGAGTGCAAATGTGCTAGTTTACTTTGAAGAAGTGTGTAACAGATTTCTGAATAGGGATGACGAAATTTATTCACTGTTATATCATTCTTTGACTTGCTTTTAGAGTTACAAGTTCTAATATTGAAGGTGGAAAGGAGATGCTACGACTAAAAAGTTTAATAGACGTTGCGTCCTCAAAAACAGGGTGTTAAGATGAACTATCCCGGATGAACAAATATGGAGGCCTATAAGTTTTATAGCCTCAATGGGTGAACCCGAGCCGAAGAATGATAATATTTGCGTGTCTAAGCTCGTATACCTTCCAATCATCTATTATATCGAGTCATCTATTCAACTGAATCATTAACCAGCTTTGAAGACAGCTATTGTTTATCAAATAGCTGTTTTCATTTCAATACTGCAGTTCAGAACATGTATGTTTCATAGACGAATAACCCGACATTGTGTGCAGATTGAACTGACGAACCTAAGTGAACTACAGCGATCGACTAGAGTTTGTTGTCCTTTTACGAACACGTTTGATGTTATAGTTATCAAACACTATTCATCTTCGTACATTGGCTGATAAACAAAAATTGAAATAGAAGGAATAGAATGTAAGAATATAAATGGCGAAAAGTAGGACACCACAATGGAGAAAAAATCAGAAATAGAAAACCCCAATAAAATATTCCTATATTCTAATTGTGACCCTTCGCGTAGTGGACGCAATTTGCGAATAAGCAACCAGTCAAAAAGGTTTTCTGGGATGTAGCACAGCTTTATAGAGTCGACATGAAATGACTGGAATTGACCCAAAGGATTTATTAGAAGCTGCGACGTCAAGTAAATTTGAGTGCAAATAACTTCTGCTTTATCTCGCCAAAAGCTCAATATTTTTTCTGGCAGTCATATTGGATTTTCCGCAGCGTCCCTTTATGCGATCATTCGCTCGGTCCAATGATTATTGGACAGATTGACTGTTATTTGGAGCATGTAAAATTGCAGCGTTCCTCGAATATGCTAAAATGTTGAATAATATTCAATTGAAGAATATTTTGTTGGTATTTTTATGATTATTTGTAGTATTGTGTTTACACAACAAGGTCGGGACGAGTGTTATGTAAACGACGAGTGAGAGAGACCAGATGTTTAAATAAAAAATGATTTTATCATTGGTCATGGTCACGACCGTTATTAATCTTAGTTTTAAGAGTTTGATTACAAAAATCAAATTCTATTAAATATTTATCACGAAAAAATATGGCATATAACACAAAGTAAGGTTCCTTTACGCATATCACCACACAGATAATCTACAACAAGCTATGTTACTATTTTTCTCACTTTGTAAGTAACTAGCTACTCTCGTGCGGTTTCACCCACTGCTCAGATTCTACAGATCGTAGCGTGATGTTTTATAGCACTCAGGAATATTTTAGCTATGTATCAGTGAAAGAATTTTGGAACAGCGGTCCCAAAGTTTTACAAATTTTACCTCTTTATAATATTAGTATAGATATAGTGTGGTATAAGTTTCCTCTATTCTTCGGGTGGGTGTCGTAAGAGCAGCTTCTTTCGTGATGCGGGTTTTTAGGAATCCCCAGCAACCAGTGGATATGTTCATGAGCTGGTTATGATTGGTATGACTGCAATTATTTATATCAAGTCCGTGCATAAATTTACAGCGTCTGGGTGTTTGGATAGTTCTAAATATAGGTTCACAATATGACATCACTGTCAACAACCCGTCGAGATTATTCCTATCGATCAATGGAATTATCATGTCCAACCGCCGTTATCTGATGGTAACTTAAGATAAAGACTTACGTGACGTCATTGAAAGCTAACATTATAATTACGCAGGAAATTATGGAATTGGATTTTTTTTGTAACTTTTAAAGT